CTCCGCAGTGCCCGGTGTCGCCGAGTTCGCCGCCTCCTTCAAAAGCGTGAGTGAGCGGTGCCGCGCCTGGCGCGAGCCCCCGGCCCGCCGGGCCGTGACGTGTTTGTCCTGGATCCGGGTTGTAACGGGGTGCACGGCAGCACGGCCCTTTGGGGGCTGGTGATGTATGTATGCGATGGACTGTGAATGTGGATTGCACCTTGGAAGAAATTGCAGCTTTGTGATATGTATGCGATGGACTGTGAATGTGGAGTGCACCTTGGAAGAAACTGCAGCTTTGTGTTAAACCTTAGGTTTTTAAACTTTAGGAAACCTTGCTTTTCATACTGGCTTTGGTGTTTGGGTGGTGATGTGCTGTTTTTAACACTAAATAAACTCCAGGGAAAACTAGAAAACAAGATTAAATGTAAAAATATCTCTAAAGAGCACCTGGAACCCTCGTATTTTTTTACTGTCAGTGTAACTAGTTTTAATTATGAGATCAGGGTTCTTTGTGTAACTCTAAGAAAGGCACTTATCTGAGTTTTTTTCTTTTTTCCTTCCAAACCAGCCCATTACAGGCTCTCCTCCCAAGTGGATGGCTGAGTTAGAAAATGATGATATCGATATGTTAAAGGGTGAGTAAGGACACTGTGGGTAAGAAGTAAGGTTACCAAAGCAGATGGGAATTCAGTACGCAAGAGGCTTAAAATGCTTGTTCTTCAGATTCTCTGCAGGTGGCCCTTTGGCCTCAGATCTCTAGCCCTCACATTTGCAAAATCTTCAGCTCAGGAGCTTCTTAGCTTGTTAATAAACATTTTTTATTAATTCCCTTATCTCCAAGAGAATATCCAAATATCAGTGATAGGCTGCTTTTTCAAAACAAACATGCAAGACTTAGCTGAAGCAGTGTAACATTACAGATATTTCAGTTACCTCCCTTACCAACCTCTCACTGCCTAAGTATAGCGAGTGCCTCCTGTATTTTGAGAAGCAGCAGGAGGGCCTCGGCTGATCAGACGTGGTGAGCAGCTTAGACTTGTAGACTTGTTCAGAGATGCTTTGTGCATGTGTCTTCACTCCTAGTTCCATGAGCTCTAATCTAATGATAAGGCTGTATGAGCACGTTACAGAAGGACTAACTAGGTTTGCTGCATGTTGCAGCTGTTAAGTTTGCAGTAAACATCCTTGTGTGTGCTCTGCATCTTGTCTGAATTCCAGAGAAATTGCTCCAGAGTGGAAAATGGGACAAATCAACTTCAACTTACTGCAAGAAGGGCACTTAAACACACATTATGAAAGTGTAGTAAGTCCTTTCCCTTGCATATTCTTTTGTAGCTTGTTCACGTAGCAACGTGAACTTAAAAGAACTTGCAAAATTTGGGACAAGTTGCTCTTTGCAATGGTGGCTGATTGCAATATGAACTGGATCTGTGGCTGTCTTTTTCAGTAGAGAAAGCTGGTCTTTTGTCAGCATGTTAAAATCAGGAGAGGCATCAGCTTGAATTTTGAATGTGCTCTGTTCACTGGAAATGTGTCTTGTCAGAAGTATGACTTGAAAGCACTCTGTGAAGCAGTGAATGGGTAAGTTGTCCCTAGAGGGCTACAGGCAGTGCTAAAATTCACACTTCTCTCTCTTCGTAGAGCTGGGGAGCCTCACTACAGCTAACCTGATGGAAAAAGTTCGTGGCCTGCAGAACCTGGCTTATCAGCTGGGACTGGATGAATGTAAGTGCTGCACATAGATGTGACCGGCTGCATTGCAAAGCTTCCCACTCAAGCATGCGCTCATCATCCATTTGTAGCTGGAAAAGTGTGCTGGCAGATTTGGCAAGTGTCTGACAGTCGCAATTAGTGACCTTCCAGAACAGGGTGAGAGAGTGAGTTTACATCTCTGACTTGCAGCCTGCCTGCCTGGGGGAAATATCTTAAGAACATGACAAGTGTCAATCTGGTGTTGTCTTGGGGCACATAATTTCTCTTCCTGCCTTTATGCTGTCTTAGATAAATTAGGTCACATTTTAAAATGTCCCGTACGGATACTAAAGCTATATCTCCGAATACCTGTGGCAGTGCTTCTGTCAAACTTCATGCACTGCTTCCACAGTGGAACTTTCAGTTGTGTTCAGGGCTCTTGTGTCACTTTGCGTTCATACTGTATTCTGTTTCTGTAGCTGTTATTTTTCTTTGTGGTCAGTAGTGGCAGGAGGTGGTGTTATTGCATGCTAAAGTTGACCTTCCTACCACTTACAGTCAATTTTTATAATTTTTTTTGAAGAAGGAGCTGTTTTCATCATCACATCTTGTTAATAGGTTGGTCCAGATTTGAGGATTTCAAGAATATTGCATTTCTTTTAAATGCTGCGTGTACATACTTACACATTTAATTTTGAGGGGGCTTATTTTTTCTCTAACGTAGACTTTAGTGAAATAGAAGTTAAACAATGTAAAACTGAGTCAAATGCAAACATTGGCTGATGATTGCCTCTCTCAGTTAACCTGTAGGCTTTATATTTTGGAGACCTTTGCCCTCCTAAATGGAGTTTAAGCAGAGCCTGAGTTACATTAAAGCTAACAAGGCGATTGTTTCCTTCGCAGTATTTGTTGCATTTCAGTTTATTTTTACTGAGAATAAATAAATACAGAAAGAAGACAAAGTGAGTAAACAGTGAAATACCTGACATCCAACAGTTACAACCTTTAGTCTGTAGTAACTGAAATCTTAAGTTTTGGGATGTTATGAAAGCTCTCTGTAACTTCTTGTCATTGAAGTTTCCGGCTGTAATTTGTTGGATGCTTTGTCTGTCATAATATGCATCAGTCTTAGGAAAATTTTCACAGAAAATTAGATGCTGAGCTTGAACAGAGCTTCTCATTACATTGTACTGATGTCCTTAAGTTCTTTTCTTGTACAAACTTAGGCAAGAAAATAAAATCCCAAAGATGCATTCGATAAAGTTAAGGGACTTGTGAGTTTGGTCCAGAGCTGTTGAATTTGATTGTATCTTTGCAGATGGAGCTTTAATAGTCCCTTTTGGCTTTCCTGTGCTGGGCCATCGAAACGAGGGCCAAAGCACTGCTGACCAGACGCCTCTAGAGGGCAGCGCGAGGCTTCCCATAGAGTCTTGCTGCTTCTTTTTATAAAACTGCCAGTGCAGTCTTGGTTTAAAGTTCTTCCCGAGTTTGTTTTTTTTTTGACACATTTCTTGTTCTGAATGTGCGCTGTCTTTACAGTAGTCTCAAATGTTTTATTTGCATTGAGGATGAGAAACTGTTCTGCTTTGTTGTGTTGGCAAATGACCTTTCCTTCCAGCTCTCCTCTTCTACATCCCACCACAAATCCTTTACATTTTCAAAGACTTTTTTTTTAATCCAACTTTTTGATTAAGTCCTGTACAAGACCAGAGCAATTCCTGCAGCACTCCAGGACGAATATCTGTTGAGTGATTTGGTAATTATGTTATGAGTTCTGCTTCTGAGCCAGTTAACAGCGCGTTAATTTTGCATTAGAAGTCATTAGGCAAAGTGGCATGTGGGACTGGGCGGGTACATTTTGAAGAGTTTATTTGTCAAGATACTCCTACAACACTAACATTGAGCAATTGATTTGATGTGATATTTGATAAATTAATAATTGCTGAATTACATGCCTTGTTTCTTAAATTCCTATGAACTGTTTTACTATTTTGTCTATATAAATGGACTTTCTTGACAAATTTGGAACAAATGTATTAAACATTTTGTCCATCTTTTCCGCTTTTGTCTAGGAATGGTTGAACACTATTACCTGGATTTGGCAGTCTTATTATATATAATTC